ATTGGCTTAAGGACTCTTTTCCTTGCTAAATTATAAACTTCATGATGGCAAGAACTATATTTGCCGTATTCACCACTGTATCTAATGCCTAGCACAGAGCCTTAAACATGATACATGTTCCATAACTGAATTCTAGCACCTCCTATAAGCCAGGCACTCTACTAGGCGTGGGCTTTAAGAAGGCATAAGTAGTCTTAGACCTCGAAGAACACATGGTTCAGTGATTAATCCAGTAAACTCTGCAACCCTCTGTCAGTTTCTTTTTTTCCCATTTATTTTGGTTCAATTTACTCTATATACTGCATTTTCTAGCTTTCATACCACAATTGACTTTTTGACAAATACTAAAGAAAAAGAAAAAGAAAAGATTTAAAACCTCTGTCTTTTTAGTGTCATCGGTTATTAGTTTTCCCTCTCCAGCTAACAAATGGACACTATTTTTCTTCAACCTCTTCTCTTGTCTGATACACTTAAAGAATGTCTGTCTGTGTTTCTCTTTGTACCTTGAAAATTGCAATGCCTTCCTTGCTTTGGCTTTTTTTTTTTTAATTGACATGAAAAGCCTTGATATTTGCCTTCCTTCTTTATGGTTCTTATTGTTTGAAAACTTCTGTTCATATTCCATCTTTCATACAATGTCTGTTGTTGCTAGATATACATGTGCATTTTTTTTTCTGTCTGCTCTATTCATAAAGATAATTTTTTTTCTGCCTTTTCATGTCATTTCCTTAAGAGATATTCAGGAAGCATTCCATTTATTTAATTTTATTTGTGATTATATAAATGACACATATTCATAGCAAAATAAAAGAAAATGAAGAAAGGGAGGGATAAAAGAAGGGAGGAGGGAAGGAAATATAATCTGATTCTGCTGAGAGCTGGTTTACATGAGGGAGAGATAAAGACAGTGAGGGAGGGAAGATGTAGTCCTAAAAAATAGAGAGAGAGAGGATAAATAGGGAACTAATAGAAGAGCTAGGATAAGAGAGGAGTCTGAAAACGGCACATGGAGCTAAGTAAAGGTGTAAATTTCACATTGACTTTGGCTTTTAACCCACCATCAAAACTGACTTACCAACCAAAATCCTAGGTTCCCCTGAAGGGAAACTATATTCTACATTAATTAAAGACTTAACTATGAAAAAAAAACTTTAAAAGTTTTAAAGAAAGTATGAAATATCTTTATGAACTAGATATTAGGAAGGACTTCTTAAACAACACACAAAAAGAAATACACATTTTATGCCCATGAGATTGGCAAAAATTAAGTCTAAAAATAACAAGTGTTAGCAAGGATGTGGATCAAAGGGAACTCATACAGACATCACTGGAGGAAGTGTAAGTTGGGATAATTAGAATCACTTTGGAAAACAATTTGGCATTATCCTGTAAACTTGAATATTTGTATACCTGTGTGTGACCCAGCAGTTCCACTCTTAGGTATGTACTCCAGAACGGTGCTTCTCTGACTTTAGCAAGCATCTGAATCACCTGGAGTGCCATATAATTAGGGGGCCTCATCCCTGGAGATTCTGATTCAGTACATCTGGGATGAAGTCCATGAATTTGCATTTCTAAGAAGCACCCAGGTGATGAGGCTGCGGCTGGTTTCCAATCACAGTTGGAGTAATACTTCTCCAGATTTCTTCACCTGGGTCTTAGGAAACAGGAACAAGAATATTCACAGCCACATTGTTCATAATAGCAAAAATCTGAACACAATCCAAATATCTCTCAGCAGAAGAATGGATAAGTAAATTGTAGTATGTTCACACAATACAGTATCATACAATATTAAAAATGAATGAACTGTAAGTATGTGTAACTTACATCAAAACATAATGTTAAGTGAAAAAAGTAAGTGAATCATCGAAACATAATGTTAAGTAAAAATGTAAGTCACAGAAAATACATACAGCATGATGCCACTTTTATAAAGCTAACAAATTAAATAATATATTGCTTAGAAGCACATGTATGGATAAAACTAACTATGAAGCAAGGGAATGAAAAACACAAAAACAGGAAAAGGAAGAATCACATAACTAGATGCAACAGTGTGGTGTTATGGTAGCTTTTAAGATGGATGGTGGATCCTCATCTTCAGAACTGTCATGTAAGTGACATATATTACATATATTCTCCTGTATGTGAAAAACATATACATAGCACACAGAAAATGGAAACAAAATTTTTTAAATGAGTGCCAATCAGATAAGCTAAATAAGACAAGAAAAGGTTACAAAGAAACTAAAATTATAGTTAATACTTAAAGTACTCACTGGATTTAGTAAATGACAGCAGTGATTCTGTAGAAAGTGGATATGTAATGTGGAGGACAACTTACCCTTGCAGAGGGAAACAAAAAGATTTTCAAACAATGAGAAAGGAGATGATGGATGTGCAGAACTAAGGATGAAGATCTAACAGACAGACTCCTGAAACAGATTGGAGAGAACAGAAAAGAAAATAATTTGAAGGTGCATTTAAAGAAAACTGTCATAGGTTGAAGAAGGGCCTTAGTCTTTCTGATTAAAAGTATTTCCCCAAATACAGGTAAATTAATGCAGAAACTCGCATTAACACATTCCTGGTAAAAGTTCAAATATTGAGGACCAAACATGACTCCTATAAGCATCCTGGCAGAACACAAAAAGGCTAACCAAACATAGTGTAAAATTCATGCTACCTTCAAAAACTTCTCTGCAACAACCACCACTACAAAAAATGATTCCAGAGTTTATTTTGAAAAATAAGTGAATATGACTAAAGAAAGTTTGAACAAAGAAAGAAAAATTATAATGAAATGAACTTGAATCTCTAGATAATAAAATGTAAATTATAATAATGAAAATGATATGAAACTGATTTTTTTAAATGGAGAGCTCAGTGGGAGAAATAGGAAATCCAGACACAGGATTACATATAATATTTCTCATCAGTATATGTATCATGATATATATCATAAAATATTATATATTATATGTGCATATATTTACATATATTTAAATATGATATATAACATGATATTGTATATCATATAATACACATGTTATATATAATTATATATTTACATTATAATGTATAATATTGTATATGTGTATATATGTTATATACATGTATGTATACATGTTGTATATATGAATTATAATACACAATATAATATACATTATACAATATATAATGATATACAATATACATTATAATACAATATTATATACACAGTATAATATAGTATATAATACTAAACATTACAATATATGACATTATACAATATAATATTTATATTTCATACATATATAATTTAGTATGTGATAGAGATGGATTTAAGGATATGATGCTATAGATGCTACAAAAACTAGCACATTATTTAGACAATGATAAAGTCAGTGCCATACACCAAGATATTTTTCAATGAATTAAAAGCTTAAATTGTTTAATGATAAAATAAAAATAATCTTTTAAAAATTAGTAGATTATTCTGATCCTTGTGTGAGGAAGGACTTTCTAAGAATAAAAACAAAGAAAGAAATTAAAAGGAAAAGACTGATATATTTTTCTATAAAGTTTTTAAATTCTCCATGTCAAAAAATGTCATAAAAAGTGATAAAAAGCAGACTACAAATGGCCAAAATATTTGTTCCATGAACATTCCAAATATTTCTACCACTAATATGTTACAAATCAATAAGAAAAAGGTGTATGCCCCATTGGAAATAAGGGTGACTGTGGTAATCACTTCACAAAGATTACTTCAAATCAGAAACACAGAAATTGTGGTCAAATAAGAGAAAATTGAACCACTGAGGGTTTTTTTCATTTATATGATTGACAATGGCAAAATATTTGCCCCTTTAAATGTAAAGAAACCATATTTAACAGCCATCCTAAGTCTAAAGTTAATTAAAGTGAATGTTTGGGCAAAGCTTAGAGCTCACAGTTCAGGGCAGATGTGGAGCTATTCTTGTGGCTGGAGACTTTGTTCTGATTTATTCAATTCACCAGACATTTTAAACCAGCTACTGTTATGTAGATGACCACACATGGGAAAAACACAGATCATTAAGAGGCTTCTGCCCAGAAAGATGAAGGCTGAGAAAATACGGTTGATGTCTTTAAGACCTTGAATAGCATGCATGCACTGAATGGTATGTTCACTGAAAACCAGAACTGGCGGAGAGGGGGAAGCCCCTAAACAATTTAGGCGGCCCTGTTTTCCATGGCAAGTTAGACACTCTGAAGTCATTACCCCATCAAAGGAGAGAAAAGCAAATACAACACAAGTACCAAATGTTTTGTATCAAACATAAAAATAAAACATGATAATAGAAAATACAGTAGACATTAAGGTGATGGGGAATAGACTTTTGTAAGTTCAAGTACATGTGTGGATACAGATTGGATATTTATTAATCAGTTACAAATAGACCCTGGAATGGTTAGCAGAATCACATTACTTCTAGTTTAGAATTATTGAGAATGACCAAAACTTAGCACCGTGGTTTGCAGACACTCTTCTGTTTGCATTTTTGACTCCGGTCTCCTGCCTGGAGGCACTTCCTCTCCTTCCCACCACATTAATAGTCTTCAGTGACAGGGTTTTGAGGATGACATTTTGGGTTCTCATATTGGTGACAATCCTGAAGATTGAAAATCTTCCATTTTATAATTAAACAAAAGTCATAAACTAGGATGAAAGTAAAGTCATAGAAAAGAAGTTATTTTATATGTGAAAACCTTTGATTCATTTGTTTTGTGTGCCACTCTGGGCCCGCCCCACTGACATTCCTCATTTGATCAGTTGAAAGGCCACTTTAGAAGTGCCACTTCATTGTAAACTGAAGATGAGTGCTTCACTGGGGTGACCATGCTTACACGGGTATGTCTCGCTGGTCATGTTTCACTGTACTCCTGATAAGAAGTGGCCTGTGTGTTTGTACATTTACGCAGAACACCTGAATGCGTGTCCTCCTCTGACTCTCCGCCTCTCTTCCCCTCAGGACTACTGGCTCTCTCTCCTTTACAAGCGCCTGATCGGCCCCAAAGTCTTGGCCGTGCATGTGGCTGGGCTCCAGCGGAAGCCTCGGCCAGGCCGAGTGATCCGGGACAAACTAAGGATTTATGCTCACTGCACAAACCACCACAAGTAAGTCTTCAGAGAGATGGCACAAAAAACCACCCCGAGGGGCTTCAGGCCCCTGTGAGAATTTCATACCAGGTGGGACCCCTTTAAGACTTTTGAAAGCCGCTTCTGGAATCACGATACCTGCTCTTTGCAGGTTTCAAATGATCACTGATAAACAGCTTTTTCTCCAAGGAAACCCCCTTTCTCACACTTAGAGGAATTATTCATAAAGTGTTCATAAAAATACTTGCCATTTGTTCATTTATTTCTTCATCCAACAAATTTCTGTTGAGCATTTTCCCTCAGCCAGTTGATGTAATGCCCGGAAGGCTTCTTTGTGTGCCTATGCCTGAACCAAGACTAGAGATATAAAATCTGTTCTTATGATACACCAGCCGAGCCTGCGGAAATAAGTCTCCACGTGTTGGAGAGCTATAACACCAGAAACTTAGGCATATGCCAGTGCGTCCCAAGCTGGGCGTGCCTAGATGTAGTGATGCCAACTTGAGAGCCATTTTCAGTATTTCAAAAACCTTTTCAGCTATTCTAAACGTTAAGAGGTTAAATAAAATCTAGGCGTCCTTTTTTAGGGGACCAGACTTTGAATAATCAGCATGGTAATGTGGGGTTATCCTCTTTTTCATCTAAAGCTCTGGTTGTCAGAGTTGTCTTTAAACATAGGAATAACCATTATCAATCAATCAATAAAGTTTGGCAGATAAAATATGTTAAAACATGAGGATCATAAGGTAAAAACTTAAAACTGAACCTAAAGTGAAACCCATCTGACTAAATAAGCTTTCTTACATCACTTCCTATTTAAGGAGCAGTGTAGGCAGCTCTGGAAATAGGAACTCTTTATGCAGAGAGGCCTTGAGGGGAGTGGGAGTGAGGGAGAAGGAAGCAAGTGCCTCCAGCCAGACCTTCATCAGAGCTGATCACGGCTGATCGCGCGGTGGAGAGCACAAAGCGCCCGAGTGGTCAGGTTACCACAGACGCTCCTTCCCCTTCCTTGATGAGAGAGGAGCCAAGCCAGTTAACTTATCATGATAAGATTTTTCAAAGAATCACTCTGAGCGTAGAGGAGCCAGGGGCCAGTTGTCTTGTCTGTAGATACAAGTGCCTATTGTGGATGAGAGGAGGCTGCTTTGGGCAGAGGCCAGACGCTGTCAACGTCCCTTTTGCTCAACAGGAAGCTCAGTCCAATACCTGACAGAGAGTGACTGCTTTATGGCCTTGGCTGGAGATATCTGATCACCACACAAGGACACATTGTATTCCTTGTCTCCACCCTGTCACTGAGGTAACCACCCAAAAGGTGGACCCCTAGCTTCAAGAGAGAAAAATTACTCTTGGCACCTTTTGTCTGTATTGGGAAGCACATCAGTATGTGCCCTTTGGACTCGGGGTCTGAGGACCCAGGGGAAAAATGTCGGTTGCCAAGCCACAGACTTAGCAGGATTTGGGGGTCCTCACAGAGGTCTCCTTACGTAGCTTCATCCCAGTGATCATCCTGCCATTCTTTGACATTCTTGTGGGAGGTTGTAACTAATATTCTAAGTATACTGCGCACTCAGGGCCAGTGCCTCATTCAGCTTTGTTTTCTTGGTGTCTAGTAAAGTGACTGGGCTGAAGAAGGTCTCAGTGAGTGATGAATGAGTGAATGAATGAAGGCAGAAAGAAGGCTTCAAGACATCACTGGTGATTTACAGTTCTAGCTCCCTTCCCCTTTGCCATCAGCACATCAGCCACAGGGATGGGGCGTGGTGGTGCAGTCAAGAATGCTACCATTTACAAGTGTGAACTCATTCACTGGATCCAGTACTCTCTCTCATCACCGGCTGTCCTCCACTTTCTGTGGGAGGTCACTCCAGAGCCTCTCTGGGGAAATAGTGCCACTGTGCTCTGTCAGCACCATCCCTCCTTCTCCCTACTTAAAAAAGGAAGATCAGGCTCTACTAATCTACTTCACAGATGACATTAATAATAGTTGGGGTGAAGTCTTTTTTGTTCCTATTAGAGAAGAAAGCCCACGTCAGTGGGCTGGCTGAGGATGAGCAGGCTGGAGTCCTCCATGTCAGTGGGTGTCTGCTGCCTTAGACAGGTAGGCACGAGGAGAGAAGAAGTACCTCTGCTCCTTCTCTTTGGGAAGACACGTGCCCTGTGCCCCCTCATCCTCCACAACAGTCATGATGAAGCCTCCCTGATTCCCTCAGTTTATTTGCGGCCAACGAGGCCAAGGTCACAGAAATGTCCCAGGGTGAGCATGTTAACTTCATGCTGTTCAATCTTGACCAGTACTCTGAAAATATATATCCTTGGTCAAAACAAGGATTGGGTGACAAAGTATAAATTTACCAGTAGGACAACCCAGAGAAAGTGTCTTAAAAGAACTCCTACAATCCAGCGTGTATTGACCCCTTGCTATGTGCCAAGCATCTTGCCAGATATTTGCATTTATATTGTCAAGTTGAATTCTGAAGGTTCTGTGGTATCATGCCTAAATGCAAATAATAACGTTAATAATGCAAAGAATTTTACATTTAGAAAGAACCCTTAGCTGTCTTTTGCCTAGTGTCCTGTATAACACAGAAATTCCATTTACATCTCTCTGGCAGTCATGAACCTCTACGTGAATACCTCACTCCTCTCATGGCATCTCTTGCATTGTGGGCCATTTCTGACCTCGTAGAGCATTGTCTTCTTCAGTCTGACTGACTGAGGGTAAAAGGTCAGGTACTCCTGCCAAAACCAGCAGGTGCTTTTCTGCTTTGTGTTCTAGATTCAGCAAATCAGGACACCGGTGGCATGACAGTTCGCACCCTAAGTCCTGTTGTTCAGAGAACAAATAAGTTTTGACTAGGAAACCTTCTTTTTATAAACTATTCTGCTAACACAATGTATGTTTCTGAGGAGGAGCTGAAGTCTTTAGCCAAGTTCAGAACCAATTGGAATTGTCTGGTGGATACTGAAGCAAAATTAAGCCTTTTGGGGTTCAAGTTCGTTTATTATTGGCAAAACACGACTTCCTGTTTTTCAGAAGAAGTTTTTTTAAAAGACTCATAAAAAAGGTTCCTGAGGCTTCTTGGACATCAAATGACTCTTACAAAACAATATTTTGATGAGTTAAGTGTAAATGAATCAGAAACATGTGGATTAAATTTCCCTTAAAATACACAGGGGCTTTGAAATTAGGGGAAAAGATGTTTGGCAAAACATGGCCTGACTTTTACCGAACCCAAAAACGTTGAATTAGATTTGGAGACGATGGACCAACCCAGTTCTCAAACACATTGACTTTCACTGGAAATGACCGTGGATTTCACAGCATCAGCCCCCTTCCCTTCCCTAGTCTCCCATCTTCACTGGAGACATTTCTAGAACAGACTGTTTTTTATCTATAAGTCAAGATGCACCTCCCCACATGACACCCTCACCATGAATCCATGACATTCCAATTCCAGCCCCCTCTTGACTCACTTCCTCCTCCTCCTCCCATGGCAACACAGAGATGTCAGGCTGCAAAAGAACAGCCAGAAAGATGAACTCCAGATACATGCATTCTCTGATGGTGAAAAAGTCTCACCATAACTGAGACATGGAGCAAGATAAGTGTTCTACCAGACAGAAAGGGGCATTAATATGAGAACCAACAGCCACCTGGACTTGCCGGCATCAGAAGATCAGCAATTGCCTGTAGGCCATACCTTCAGTCAGACTCCATTTTCTTAGGGAATTGATACTCCTCCAAGATTATTTTTCCTGTAGGCAGAGAATGTACATTCTTCAGAACTCTGGATTCTCAACACACAGTACTTTCAGGTTGGTGCTGCATTCCCCGGCCAAGAATGTGTCTTCACAGCCAACAGGCCTCTGCTTAATGTCCCTGCCCACCAGCCAAGCAGGGAGAGGGAAGGCCGAGGCAGTCTCCAATGCCAGTTCCTACCTAAGGAGGCCCCCTGGGTTCTGTGAGAGCCTCGGCAAGTTGGTCTCCGGGCTGGCGTTTAGCTCCGGTTTGTCTCCCCCAGGGGAACTATGTAAATGGAAATCAGACCATTGCCAAGCAGCTTGAAAAGATAGCTTTTCCTGAAGCAATGCTGTGGTTTCAGGTCTCCCTCCCACCCACCACTTCCCCACCTCCCGCTCTTCTCCTCTGCAGACTTCAAGGGCTCATCCTGCCCAACTCTGCAGAGGAGAAACTCCTAAGTGCAAGCTCTCTCCTCCTCCACTGCCTTTGAGAAGGTGGTTTGAGGGTAGTTAGCAGAAGGGTTTACCGCAGCCTGGGAAATTGGTACCCATGCGTGCCTACTTTTGCTCACACTCTGAAGCCCAGAGAACTTGGAGTTAATGGTGTCTTCCTCAGTTTGGCACACAGCTAAGCTAAACTTAAAACCCACCAATGGCATATAGTTGGTGTTCTTTGATGATGATGATAAACACTGACATTGGCTAGCAGCATCTTTTTCAGAGTTCTGGTGACACAGATCTGCTCAAATAAATTGGCATTCCCTCCTGACTCCAAAAGCTAGTTCACATGTCTCAGGGGACTGAGAAGATGGACCAGAGGAAGAGCGACTAGATAGAAGAATCATTTAATAAGTTACCGGAATATCAGTGTAGGCATCCAAAAAGCCTTGAGTGCAATAATGTACCCTCCTACGGATGCAAGAGAAAACATGGGACACAATACCAAAAGGATATACTTGGGGAATTTTTCTCATAACCTTCATGGATTGCTCTAGGCAAGTGGTTCCCAAACCAAGCTCATCTGCCAAATATCCTGAAAGATTTTTTTTTTAAATACCGATTCCCAGACCCCAGTCACAAATGGACTGAATAAAAATCTCCAAGGATGAGCCCTGGAAACTGTATTTTAAAAAATCCAAGTGATCATATTGACATGCCCTTCATCACTCACTTCTTAATTAGCCCTTTTAGAAGCAAAGATGAGTGACCCAGAGGCTGAGGGGTGCTGTTTCTGCAAAGAATGATATTTTCCTCTGGGCACAGTTGACTTAGAGTTTCTCTGAACTCCTCCTTTGAAGGCAGGACCAGGTCATTTTTTCTGTTTCCTCTCATTAACCCATCCAGATGGGGCCCTAAGGGACCCTTTAGAAGCAAAGTCTTTTTTCCTACAAGAGAGAAGGAAATCATTATAGTTTTGTTGATACATGCTAAAAGGCTCTTGCATGTAGGCATGTAGTTCTCTCAGGCTTCTGAACGTCCTGTGCTGTTTAAAAGGATTCCAAAACAGTGAATAGTTTTATAATCATGGGGTAGGTAAAGCAAAAACAGTAGAAATTAAAAAGGTCAAGAAATTTGATTACTTAATAGTTTGTAACTTTTATGCATCAGGACACAACAATGTAAACAAACTGAAGCAGTCAAAGAAAGCTGAGGGAAACTGCAATATACATACAGACAAAGGATCATCTTTAATAAGTAAATAGTTTTTATAAATCAATAGAAAAATACACAAAGGACGTGAATAGTCAGTTTACAAAAGAAGAAATAGCAAACAGGCAAATAAAAAAATATTGCACCTCAGTGTGAATTTTTTTAAAGTACAAATTAATACAACATTGAAGTCTCAATATTACCTCTCAGGTTGAGAAAGATATTTTAAGATTAGTATCCCATGTTCTTAAGGGTATGAGGAAATGGGTACTCTCATACATAGGTGATGAAAGCAAATTCATACACGCTTTCTAGAGAATTAATATCAATATTATCAAAATGTGTATATTAGTCAGGATAGGCGAGGTTCTGCTCTGATAGTGAAGGACCTCCAACCCCCCATGGCTTCCAAAAAGAAGATGTATTTCTCTTGCGCACTACTTGTCTGTCATGGTTTGGCTATTGCTCTGCTCCTCATAATCCTCATTCCAGGATGCAGATCAGTAGAGCACCCTCTATCAAGAACACAGTCAGCCTCACAGCAGAGGGTAAAAGACACATGGCAAAATGGGGCTGCCTAGTAAAGCCGCTGCCCAGGGGTTTTAACATGTCCACCCACATCACATTGACCAAAGCCAATCATGGGATCACTCTAAGGTTCAACAGAGCAGGGACAGAAAAATCTTCCCACAGGAAGGGGCACTACTTGGGAATGAACCGGAAGATTTCATGAGGAATCATTCACTGCCTTCCCTTGGACCTAATGTTTCCAACTTCCAGGACTTTGCCCATCAAAAATAATCATGAGGTACAAAAAGTTTATGTAAATGAAGTCCTTCATCACATAATTTATAATGGCAAAAAATTAAAAACAACATGCTCCAAAAGGGGGGGATTAGTTAAATAATATTACATTTCTATCATTGAAGAATTTAGTGTTCTTTTATAAGTAGAATATATAATAGCAGTAACATGGAAGCACATTTAAGCTGTTGATGAGAAAAAAAAAAAAACCTGAAAAAAACTGTGTGAATAATGTGATCCCAATTATGTAAAAACTGAGAAATGTGTCTGAATGTGTCAAAGTACTCAGTAGATATTTGTCAAACTAATAAACTAAAAAATACTGGAAGGCTGTCTACCAAAATGTTATCATATCTTAAGATAGTTGGATTATGGGGAATTTTTCTTTTTCTTCTTTGTGTTTCTCTATATTTTGCCCTTTCTTCCCCAATCAGTATGCTTTACTTCCTCAGAGAAAGATATTTTGTTTTCTAAAATCACTGCAGTACATTTAAACAAAAATAAAAGAAGCGTGGTGGGAAGTGAATATCTTCTTTGCAGAAAACCATAGTAACAAGGCCTTCCTATCTTTGAAGGTCTAGGATGGCCGAGAGCCATAAAGTTAATGCCCTTTCCTGGGGAAGTCCTGTTTTGTGCAGCCTATAAATGATTTAGAAGCCTCTAACAGACTAGTGTGTTTCCATCTTTCCCTTTCTCTCTCTGGATACCAGCCACAACTATGTTCGAGGGTCCATTACACTGTTCATCATCAACTTGCACCGATCAAGAAAGAAAATCAAACTGGCTGGGACTCTCAGGGACAAGCTCGTGCACCAGTACCTGCTGCAGCCCTATGGACAGGAGGGCCTCAAGTCCAAGTAAGTGCCGACCGGAAATAGCTTAAGAGCAGGAGCCAGGTGTGGAGGGAGCTGGAGTCCCCCTTTGCTGATGGTCAAGGTTGCTGCTAATTCACTCAGGGACTGCTTACTCCCTTTAGGACCCTGGTCGAGCCCTTCCCTGTCTCTGGGTTTAGAGTCCCCAGCCAACAGTAAAGTCAAATGATGGACAAAGTGTATCTCAACAAGGGCACTCTTGGTATCTGTCTTGACTAGATGATTCTTCATTCTTCAGGATGATCACATTTCAAGCTATTTAGTATCCTTGGTCTCTACCCACTAAATGCCAATAGCTCCCTACTCATGTGACAACCAAAACCACTGGTAGTTAAGAACCTAGTTCCTTCCAGCTGTAACATTCTGTAATGCTGTACTTCCTGTTTGTCGTCATCTACAAACCTCATGGGGCTTAGCGCAAGGAGCACTAGACAAAGGATCAGAAGTTCAGAGATCAGGAGTCAGTTCTGCTGAGTTAAAAACTCGGATATAATTAAAAGATTTAATTTGGGGTTAACTTGGAGTGGTTTTTAATTTAATAAAAAAGAAATGTGAATAAAAACTTGGGAAAAAAATCAAATCAAATCAAATCAAGTCACTGTAAGAAAGAAATAAGAGACAGTCAGTTCTGCCCCTAAATTTATAACTTTGAGCACATCATCTCCCTGGAACTCAGTTTTCTATCTGAACATTAGGAGAGAAATTATATTTTGGGGGCTCTGTGTTTCCTTCAGACTGTATAAATGCACGATTCTGTGATACTCCCTACCTCCCTCAGTCTCGTCTAGAGACTATGGTCAGCACTGACCACTACCACCAGAAAGTAGCTCTAGGCCACGGGGAGAAAGGCCTAGTCAAGGGCAAGGCCACCCCAGATCCCAGAGGACAGCCTCCCAGGAAGGGGATGGCTACAGACTGGGAGCATTCCTATTCCATTTTAATGTTTACCAAGTTTAACAAAGCTGTAAACTTGGAGCAGGTGGCTATACTCCCACAGCTGCCCACAACTATTATGCTGTAATTGTTCGCTATTTCACTGCAACCTTGGTGGCTTGCATTTGGCTTCCAACTGTATGTTCAATGGGAACAAAACAAAATCTGGAAAGTCACTTACTGAGTCTCTTTAGCCCACCCTAGATCTGTACTTTCAGTCTTGGTTCACATACTGGCTCTTTATTCTGGCTACATGTGCATTGCTCCCACTTTTCTTTCCTCTCAGTCTTGCTATACCAGCAGGACTCCCGTGAGCGCTTTAGCCCTCTCTCCATTTCCCAGTAGTTCACGGCTTGTGTGCTGAGTTCTGGGTCTTCATTCTAGGCAGGAGACTGGGTTCTGGTTTACTAAATAATCAGACGACCTGGGCAAGTCCTAATCCCTAGGCCTCAGTTTCCTCGTCTGCAAAATTCAAGACTTGCTATATATATGGTAAGGTCCCTTCCAGCTCTCAAATTCTCATCCTGGTCTAATTTTTTGAGGACTGTGACTATGGATAAATCTCTCACTGCTGTTCAGTAATGACCCTCAAAGTCAAGTCTGGCAGAGGGGCTGACTCCTCAGCAGTGACTGTGACATTTCAGGGTCCTCCAGAACCCAAGAGATTAGGAGCTGAGCCTACCCAGTGTCAGGAAGACCAGGCGTGCCACGTGAAAGGAACTAACCAAAGGCCATGTCTGTCAGGCTGAGGCGTCAGCCCCTGCTCTGCCACTTTCTGGCTGTGGGTCCTGAGGCAAGTTACACAATCTGTGTGAGCCTCAGTCTCCTCATCTGTAAAACCTTGCATGTGGAGAGGAGTAAATGAAGTTACCCATGTAAAGTTCCTGACATGGTAAATGCTCAGTAAATGCCCACGGCCTGCCTTTTCCTCAACTCAGAATTCTAGCCGGCTGGGGAAGAAAAGGGAAACAACTGCTCTGAGAACACTCTTCAAAAGTAGTCTTCTCAGACTTTTAAGATAATGTGTGGCTAAAACATTTGTTAAGATTATGATAAGAACTGCATAAATGCAAAACCATGAAATGTGAGGAAATGATGGTCTGGGGGCGGCATCACTTCAGAGCTTGTTTCTCCATCAACTATGGGTACAGGCATCTAACCCTATTTACCCTGCTCCACATCCCAGCCTCCAGGATTGCTCCTCTGATGTTGGAAGCTGGCCACACCTTGGCCCATGTCCTGCCTATACCTGTCCTTAAAGGTGACTGAAGTGACTCTCACTGGCTGCCAACACACTGTATTTTCAATTCTGTGGTCTTGCATCTCACCCTGTCACCAGATTGGTGAAGAGCTATGTTATGGCTTTGTTGAGAATGTCAGAGAGGGACAAGGAAATAGAGAATTTCATTCCACAGGAGTCCTGAAGAGGAATGTGGTAACACCCAGTAAGATCAAATAGCAATGTTGTGCATTTGGAATAAGAGGGAGCTGGAACCAGAAAGTCTGGCTATGAATCCAGTTGCTACCATTTACCTGTGTGGTCAAATCTCAGCTCCCTTACCTGCCAGATGGGGCTATTGTGAGAATCAACTCAGAGCGTTATGGATGAAACGATGCCTCCTAGAAATGAAAATTTGACACGCTCACGCATACACATACATAGATATGAACAGCAGACATACACATAGGACTCTACATATATTGTATTAAAGACAGTTTGAGATCAGAAGTCAACAGAACTGGATTCCAGCCCTTATCTTGCCACTACTTCACTGTGGAACTTTGGGCCCTCCATTCACTCCTCTGAGCCTGTTCCTCTTCCTATGAACCACTGCTAACTTAACACCTCTGTCGTTCTAAAGAAGGTGCTGCACCATCTTGGACTGTAAGCTGCCAGATGGGGCTGCCGGGTGCACGGTCAGTGAGTGCCACAGCCAGCACTCCTGTAACTGCTAACGAGAGCCAGAGCCCTCAGTGGTTCTGGGATGAGGTCTCACAGGGAGGGTATGGTTTTGGTGTGGCAGACTCTGCAGGACAGGATGAAAGGAAATGCTAGGAAGTGATTTCAGACTTTGGTGTCTCCTTCTCTCTTTTATAAGCCTCTAGAGCCAGATTCTGTATTCTGTGCCTGCTAATTCCTTGCTATAGCCTGAAGCCATATTAGTTCAGAAGAGGATGGAAAGCTCTGGGAACCTGTAATTGCTCCTGTCTGGGGGAACCAGGAAGAGTATATAGAGTGAGTCAGTGTGCCATTCAAGCCACCAACAGGGCACTTTGGCTTAGAGTTTCAGGAGTAGGGAGAGGCCGGCAAAACTTTTTTGAATGGTGAAGAACATAGGGTAATTCTCCTTCTCTGAGAAGGAGAATTGCCATCAGGGAAGGAAAGATTTTAGATCTCTGAAGGGTAGCTCCATGTGAACTCAGGACTCAGTGAACTCAGGGCTATCAGGTATCACACAGGAAGTGCCCCTGGGGCCACTAACCAGGCACAGTCCAGGTCCACAGTGAAGGTTCCTGTTTCTTATCTCAGTGAGAGAACCAGTCATAAGACCCGCTACTCAAGTCTCGACTCTTTATGTAAGAGACAGTTCTCAGTCAAGGAACCAGACAGAAGGTGGGTGCCCTGTACCCTGTGGGATAGAAAAACAGAAACTTTTAGAAAACTGCAGTGTGTACCAGGGAAGGGTATTCTGTGTCTGGAATACATATTCTTCAAGGATGGCTGAAGGGAATGGGGAGATTTAATTTAATGAAGGAAAAGGGTAAATTATAAGGACTTTCTTCAGATATTCAAAGGACTGCTAAATGAAAGAAAACAGATTTGGCCTAGAATCCTCTAAAAAGATACAAAACCAGGAGTGCAGTTTAAAAGGGAAAGAGTTCACCACAAAACGAGCTCATTTTCCAAAGTCTTGTTTGGTTTGACTGAGGACAGGACATGCTTTCTTAGGAGGCAGCCTATTAATCAAAGAGTGAGCAGCCACGCCAGCCATCTCGGAGATGCTCAGAGAGTCCTTACTCAGTGGGAGGTTGATTACTGCTTCCTATCAAATTCTAAAATTCTATTATTCTCTTCCATTCCTGTCCACCACTCTCACTTCACTTCAGGAGCCTATTGTCTCTCTGGTCACAAGAAAAGTAGCTTCTTCAAGCCACTAAAAGGCCACACAAAGAAACTGGTGCTACAAGAGAAAGTGGTGGTAATACCCAGAAATTTCTCCCAGAAATCTCTGGCTGCAGGTCCCTCCCCTGTCATATTCCCTGGCTTCTCATCTTTCTGGGGGAAAGAATAACCGTGCACACCCAAGACAGTAACAGTTCCCCTTCTAGATAAGTCAAGAAGGGCAGCTCTGCCATCTACAAGAGAATTTGCCGAGTGCCTCATGCTATCACAAATCAATGAACATTGTCCTCTGGGGAATCAATTCTACTCAAGACATAAATAGCTCCAGTGTCTTTCAGCAAACAGAGAAGCAAAATAAAGTTGGGCCAAACAAGTCAATTTACATCAAAAAAAAAAAAAAAAAACCAGGAGGAGGAAAGTCAAACCAGGAGCAGGTGTTTGGTCAGATCCCAGCATTCTTGCCTATGTGTCACATTCAATTCCATTTGGAGGGAAAACTATCCAAAAACTGGAAAAGAAGGAAACAACTTTCATCACACTAGCTATTCTGTCCTGACAGCTGACTGGGGGAATCAGCAGACGCTAGGAATCCCGGGGCAGAATGACATTTTGAGGTGGTCTGGTTCATTCTCCTGCCCTCAGACAGTCTGTGGCTAAGATATCTGGACCAGAAGATGTTCTGTGTTCAAAGACCTCTGGGAAGGAGTGCCCACAGTTTCAATCCTGTCTGAACACTTAACTTTATGAGAACAGTGGGGCCCGCTGCGCCTGTGGCTGGGACTTCACAGATGATAAAGAGCTTTAATAGCCATTATCTCACTTAACTTCCTGAGCAGCACCATGAAGCAAGTAGAACACTTCTTGCCTCCTCCCATTTTAGAGTTGAAGAAACTGAATCTTAGGACCCTAAGTGACTTATTCAAGAGTC